TGGCCGTTAGCAGTCGTAAATGCAAGTAAATAGCGGCAGTTCGCGATTGGCCATGAGGAGCTTCCACTGTTAGCAGCCGATTAATAGCAACGACTAGTGACGACAGAGTAACAAACAGAACACTTTGTGTGTGCTGTAGTTGTAGTGATCTATAGTGTGTGTAAGCTAATGAGACCTCTATAATCATTCGTAGTTTCGAGTTGCAAGCGTCCAATAAATCCTATTATCATTCCCAGTCTAGTCCCTAAGACGTGACATTATTTCTATGTGGACTTCACTCATAAGACTCAGAACAGAACCCACTACAAATTCTTTTGAACTCGGCAATGAACCTTAGGGCTTCTTAAATCAATGGGAATTTAATGACTAACTGAGCTTTCCTTAGCTTCTGAAGAAAGATTGCTCCATGGAAGTACTGTTCTTATTATTGTACGGGCCGCGCTCTTGTGAGCTGACCTAGCTTACCGTTCAACTCCATGGAGCAGACTCCTTCTTGAAAGCTATTAGTCGCCCAGCTAGTCAAGGATTTCTCAACATTTTATTGAACCCAAAATTTCATTACCATGTCCATAAGAGCGTGCCATTGGTTCCTGTCCTGAGCCAGATGACTGCAGCCCATATCACAGCATCGTATTTCTCTAACGTCCATTTTAATATCATCCTCCAATTGTCGTTTACGTCCTCTTAGTTGTCTCTTTCCTTCTGGCTTTCCCACCAGAACTCTATATGCTTTCATCTTATTATCTCCCTTTCTGTGTGTCCACTGTGAACGTGGCCCGCTACGATTTCCCTCCTCAATGCCTTCCGCCCTTCCGTGAGGTTTGCTTCCGAGCCTCAAGGCACTTCTTGCAGAGGCCCTGGATCCCAAGTCACGGGCGTTTCTTCTGAAACCGTTTCGGCCTACTATTTCCCTCGCGCAAGCAGCGGTCCACAGACGCTGTCTACCGAGGTAAGCTGTGTGTTATCCCCCTAAGCTGGGTTTGCCATGAGATGATATGAGAAGTGCACGCCGTTCTGTATTTGAAAAGCCTTTTGTGTATTGTTTGCTTCTAGCTCAAGTTGTCTGCTAATCCTATATTCGTCTTATATATGATATATTCATTCTGTATCAGAATGTCATATTTTTATATTTTGTTTCTCTAAAATATATATATGCAATGGATATTCGGAAAGTAACCTCCGGTGAGCTGCTAACAAAACAAGAAAAGAGAAAAAATTATTATGTACAAAAAATACATATGAACTTTAGCTACATCTCAACATACAATAACCTATGCCCCTATCGGGGCATAGGTTATTGTATGCCTGTGTCAAATAAGTTTGCCGCCTGTGAGCTGAGCCACGTTTTGACATATACCATCAACTCCTCATTATCGTTGAAGCTCTGTGGTTCCAGCCTGTTCTACGGGTAGGTGAACAGGTGTTGGTCGCTCGGAGCGAGATCAGGACTGTAAGGAGGGTGGTCAAAAACATCCATATGAAATGCTCCAGCAGTGTTCGGGTGTGAGCAGCTGTATGCGGAAACGCATTGTCATGGATGAGCGCTATACCGTATGTCAGCATTCCACACTTTTTCTCTGAATGGCCACACACAATTTTTAGCGATTCTCTATACACTTCTGACGTTACTGTCGTTCCTTGACGCATGAATTCCACCATCAGCAGTCCTTTCTTGTCCCAGGAAACAGCTGCCATCAGCTTTCTGGCACACAAACATTTGTCTAGACTTCTTCCGCTTGTTTGTTGAATGTGTGTTTATCCACTACTTTGACTGCTCTTTTCTTCCATCATTCAGAAATGAAACTCAAGACTGAGAAATTCATCGCCATCTTTGTGATGTCGCTTTATAAAGTCAAAGCCGAAACCATTCTTTGCGTTTTGTGCGCACCCGTGAGCATTTCCGGAACCAATCTTGCGCAAAAATTATGGTAGACTAGCATAACTGTGACAGTGCACTATTCTCTTAGAGAACAGTGCACGAAATTCGCGGGAATTCACGCGAAGGTTCTGAAATTGTGAACTGCGTCTTTCATAAATTTTTTGGTCAACACTTTGAACAAGATCATCACTCACTCCAGATGGCCGTCCGACAATTTCTCTCTTCACCGTGAACATTTGCTAGCTCATCTTTGAACAGTCTACGTTATTACCTTATAGTTCCTTCATTCTTATAATTTTGGCAGTAAACCGCAGCGCCTAATTCAAGACGGATTTCCGCACCACTCATGTGTTTAGAGTGAAGAATGCGGATAACAGCGGCGACTTCGCAGCTGGTGTGATTATTAATCGCAGGACACATCATAATCCACTCTGTAGGAACAAGAACAAACACTAGATGACTAGTTACGTGACAGTTTACAGGACAATAAATCATGTGACACTATATCGCACGCGCGAGTTGTACCCGCTCCTACAGTAATTGCCTGTAATAAACAGAGGTCACATTCCGAATAGCCCTCATGTATATATATATATTGTGACATGTCTAACCGTTGCTGGGAAACGGGAGTTGGAACGAGTTACCACGAAGACATACCCTTGATAAACGGTCGGTTGCCAAGTTACGCAACAGTAAGGAAAGCGGTTTTCGTCCGTGCCGAGCCGAAGCGCGCTGGTTGCTGCGCAGCATTGCCCAGCAACGCCTGTAAACACGGAGTCACGCAACAGGGGAGCCCGTGCAGCGACTCTTGCTCGGCAATCGGTAAACACGACGTCAATGAACAGTGTAAGCTATCACTTAACTGTTTTCTGTGTGGTCAGTGCTGAAGCTACATAACAGGAATATTCGTCAGTGAGAGGGAGTAACCAGTCAGTTGCAGTCTAGCATTCGCCGGAGTGAATGGAAGCAGCAGTAATTGTGATACTGCCGATGGCAGTAGTTGTGAGATTGTAAATTGTGTAAATGAAAGAGCGAATGTGGAATAAATTCGCTAGATCCAGAACGGCGTGAAGTTATTTGTCGCGTGACCTACCCAACACGTGACTATATACAGAGGCACGCTGTAGCGTAGTTGGTTAAGGCGCTATGCTACAAGCTGTAAGGTCGCGGGTTCAAGTACCGATGATGTCACTGGATTTTTTTCAATTTACCTAATCCTTCCAGCCGCACTATGGCCCTGGGGTCGACTCAGCCTCTAACAGAAATGAGTACCAGGAATTAGTTAAATTATTTTCTTGGGGAGTAAAGCGCGGCCAGCGCGTAAGGCTGACAACCTTACCGCCATCTTTGAGCCCATTGTCTAGAAAATGTGGGACCCTCAACGTCTCACAACCCTATGGGCCTTCACAGCCAGTTACAGTGATAGCTTTGCTTTTTACTTTATACATGATACTACTGAAAGTCTTCAAGTTAAGTTTAACTGCGCGCCACGTCAAACTGTCCACACTCCTCACTTACTATCCGAAAGTAGGCACGAGGTGAGGGATAATGGTACATTATTATTATTATTATTATTATTATTATCATTATTATCATTATTATTATTGTTATCGTCGTCGTCGTCGTCGTTGTTGTTCAAGCCGTAGTTCTGTAGAGCTCAGAAGGCAACGGTATATTTTGTATGATGTTGTCGTCTTTCAGGTGCATGTATGCTGATTCATGTCGCCATTGGAACCCGACACACCGCCACCTGTAGCTCTCATCGTCTGAAAAGTGGGACGTGGATAAACAAGCTGTTTTCTCTCCTGGGCAACAAGTCGACAGTCTGATAAAGATCACATGCTTACTTAGCATCGAACTCGCTTCGAGAGAAAGAGACTCTCAAGTGATTGTCATGAACATGAAATTAAATAGAACTGCCATGGAAACAAATCAATACACTTCCTGGAATTGGAATATGGAAATGTCAGACACACTGACTGAAGTATAAGCCCCACATACACTTTTAAGATTGCGAACTAAAAGATCATTGTGTCTTCATCGAATTCTGTTCAGCTTGTATCTTCACAAGAATAGCACGGTAAGTCAGGAGTATAGTCAGAGAAAACTGTTTACTTTATCTCGACAAAGAGTTTTAGCATTGGATGGCAGTTATCCAGAATACAAAGCCTCATATGAAACAAGTGCACTACCTAAAATACATGTGTCAGTAAAAACGACAATTTTAACTTGTAAATATTAAGCGAATTATACAAACATTTATTTATTTATATTTGTTGCTTTACATTGAACATATTGTAACGTGTTTTAGTTACCGAAGACGCCGTTCGCGATTGTTAATTGGTTTATTTAACAACATACAATTCTCGGCTACAATCAATTATGACAATGTTGCGGGGTTTCACAACTTATAACCCTATTCGCAATATTCAATTCACTCTATTGTCAGCAGTCTGCACGTTTCACAGTTTCTCGCTTGCTGCTCAGCCGGCTTATATTCCGTTTCTTTGGAGGCTGTGCTTTCTACGTCTCCTGGTATTTGGGCTACCCCTTCCAGCGATTGTTCTCCGGCTGTTACAACCGCTCCCCTCTTAAGACCTGCTCGTCTCGAGCGGTTTCCTTTCAGCTCGCTAGAAGATCCAGTTCCATCCCATTCATCCATCGCTTTCTCCCATGGCACATTCACTCTCTCTGGGGAGGCCGGTTCTTCTACATTACTGGTTCCTCCTCTGCTTGAAGTCTCTTTTTCCGTTTTGGAGGGGGTCGTCCCCTCCACAAGGTCCAATCCTTGATCATTTCTTTCTTCGGAGGTTCCTTATGTCGACGTAACAGCTCTTGATGCGTTGTTTGCACTCGCTGACGTCGTTGTTCATCCTGGACTTCCCGCCACTTGCTGGTACAAGACCGTGGCGCCAAGTCCTTTCTCCGGTATCCGAAGGCTCCCTGGGGAGTTTCCTTCTTGGAGGCATTTCTCCAACGCCGTGCCACTGTCGCGCGACGGGATGTCGTCCTGCAGGTTTTATTCTGCCGAGCCACTTCCACGCGGAGGCCCGTCCCTCTGCGGGCTACGGCCAACTTATTCTGGGGTCCGCAATTTTCCCATATAATTCTTCTTGGTACATCAGTTTATCAGTAACTGTTTTCGTGTATGAACTCCTAGCAAGTATTTAACTTCTTCTAACTGATTGATTAAGCTGTCGCTAGCATATTTCTCTATAAGTTCCCGTTTCTTACGCCTCAGTAGTGCCTCTTCTACTTCCCGCTGTGATGGGACTGGAACATGTGCTATGAACTTCGGCTGCAGTAATTCTTCTGATGTCTGCTTTTCATCTTCATCAGAATCTGGTTCTGGTGCCACAGCATAAATATTCTCCTCCTCCTCTTCCTGTGGCTGACCCGAGCATTCAGCTTTTCCATGAATGGACATCTCCTTCTTTAATTTCCAATCAGCCACTGCATTCCATATTGCTTGTCTCTCTTCATTTTGCTCAAGTGGTGTCAGAATGCCATCATCGTCCACTCGATAACCATGGTAATCAGCATCAATATCTTTCATGAGCTCGGCACGTGTCTTTCTAGGAGGTGGTGGTGGTTCCTGCTCAAAGAGCTCTCTAACACCTGGAAAATCTTTGGCTGCTCCAAAGTATTTGTAACCACGATTCCCAGGAACTTCCTTGCCCTCGTGATCCAACATACGAGGTCCCACTTTAGCATAATCGGGGCCTCCAAGTTCTCGTATCTGTCTCTCCCAATGACCCTTTTCACGGAGAAGTTTGTTTATCTGATCATTCAAATCACGGATCATAGATTCACCAAGTCCAGCATTCTGAATCTGAGCCACTTTCTTGGCTATTTCTCGAATAATCTGCATTCTCCACTTCTCAGCTTTAGGTAAATCATGACATTCGGATGCAAGATATGGTCTCCTCTCCCTTTCTTTTCCTGTACCACTAACTTGGGCTGCCCTCCATCGAGCTAAAGTTGTCATTGCTTTCTCAGCATTTCGAGCCATTGCAATAAAGAATCCCACACTAATGTAACTTCCTAAAGAACTGTTTCGACGTATACACCTTATATGAATACTGCACTGTTATTTAACAGTACACCACAACACTTCATACACCCCTCTTAAAGTAATACACAACAGATCCAAAGCCGTTCAAAACCTTCATAAAGTTCTAAGGTGATTACCTTAAAAATACGACAAATACAAGCTCTACAAGCTCGTGCAACTAAACTCGGCGACTATTGCAATTCAATACAACTCGTGGGCAGCTGTCTTGGGAAATCGTTCACTGCTGACTGGAGAACTGTCTTCGGCCGCTGATACACTTTAAGTAACTGTGAATAGCTTCGCTGCTCGTTATGTAGCCTTGTTCCGGGCAACACAGAAAACGGCCACGTAATAGGCACCATTGTTGTGTGGTGCCGTGTTGCTAGCAACACTGTCCGGAGTTGTTTACTGCTGCCTAGCAACCGCGGTATCCCTTGGTGACGTCACCGCTGTTGACTCGCGTTGCATAGCTACCAAGATGCTGGGACTCGGCTAACTTCGGCTCCCCTCGGCACGTCACCGCTGGCGGGGGGAGGGGAGGGAATATGTTGACCTGTCTATTACCGTTGCGCAACACGTTACAATATCCTTACACGTAAATACATGTATAATTACCAATGTGAAATACAAAAGCCCTCTCAAATACAGCGGCACTAATATTATGTATACAACAGAATATTGAAATATAATGTACACATACAATTTCTAAAATTCCTCTAAACGCAACCAGAATATAATATTTAATTTAGCTTAAATTACGATATACAATGTCAAACTTTAATGGTGCGGACAAACTCTGTGTACGAGTTCCATATACCAAAAAAAAAAAAATCCGTAGTTTTAGTTCGCAAGCGAATTATACCCACCGAGCGACCGCCTCTTGTCGGCGAAGTTAGTGCCAACTTTAGGGTATAGAGGGTGTTGTGTGGTTAGCGCAACGTATCCTCACAACCGTTAATTTCAGTTTTCTAGACCGGAGTCGCTGTTTCCTTGAAATAGCTCCTCAGTTATCCTCACGAGGCTGAGTAGACCCCGTTCCAGACCCAGTACTTCTCAGAAAATCTGGTAGCCCCGGAAATCGAACCTAGACCTCTGGATCTGTAGCCAGGAACTCTGACCACTAGACCACAGAGACGGTCTATATACCAAAACAAGAGAAAAAATATCCATTTCATTAATGTTTCCGGAAGTATTCAATTTGTGAGTTATAGTTGAAAGAATATATATATTTAAAATAAGTGTTCAAAGTTTCTTCCATGAGATTCAATGCAAGCCTCTATATGTCTCATCACGGACCCCCTCATCCTCTCGAAGATGCCTGGCTAGTTGCAGTTAGTCTGACAGGCATCCACAGTGGAATGGTGAAGTGTCTCTTCGTTGTCTACAGGAGCTGCATACACAAGGGATTTAGGTGTTCCCATAAGTAAAAATGTAAAGGATTTAAAAATGGCGAGCGTGGAGGCAATGTAGTGGGTGCTGCTCAACCTGTCCATCGGTCATGATGGGTGTTACTGGACACATCTCGCACAGCGCGACCAAAATGTGCCGGACCACCATCATGCAGGTAGCACATTCATGCTCTGACTGCCAGTGCTGACATCTTCCAGTAGCTTCGGCAGGTCATGATGGGTGTTACTGGACACATCTCGCACAGCGCGACCAAAATGTGCCGGACCACCAGGATGCAGGTACCACATTCATGCTCTGACTGCCAGTGGTGACATCTTCCAGTAACTTTCGCAGATCATGTAAGAAAAAATCTCGGTAGAGGTTGCAGCCAAACACGCAGACCTACCAAAGAGTCACCAATAATCCTTGCTACATATTAAAGTGAACTGCTGCTTGTGTCTACACAGTATTCTCACAGCAACAACTGACAAACTAAATGTTTCCAGACACGTGTTGAAATGGACATTTTTTCTTGATTCGGTGTGTGGAACTCGTGCACAAGAAATGTGCACCTTTCAGTTAAATTCTGTATATCTTATTATTTCGGCTTCCTTCTTCGCATCTCCAACATATTTTCGCCCTTCCTGTAAAGTTTCGTTAAAAATATAATGCTTGATTCATAACAAGAAGCATTGCTGAAGTAGCTATGCATGTGTTTCCCACACAGAAACCGAGACGAATTTTGGAACTGTGAAATCAGAAGTACTTGGTCTTAGCCAAGGATGTGGTTATTTTTCTCGTAGACAAAACTTCAGTGGATAGAGCTAATATTAAGAAATTAAAATTTGCTCTATAAAGAGCTTTTTTTTTTTTCATTGGCACTACAGCCCCAGTGGGCCTAGGCCTACCTCCATGAATTTCTCCGTTCACTTCGGTTTTTCTAGATCTTACACATACGGTAGGACTCCTTGGGTACAACGCTTCCATCTTGATGTAATGTATTGTGACATATAGACCCGTTTCTGTGCGGCGACCGCGATACGCGACCGTACAGCGACTGTTGCTAGGCAGCAGCCCGTAAGCAACAACAGAGGAGTGGTGTTTTCTGTGCGGTCGTGTCGACACATTCCTATCTTCCTAATAACTTTGCCTAGGATGTCACAGTCCTATGAGATATTCAAACTGAAGAGTCTTTGTCATATTTCAATCGGGATAGAGGCGTACAACGCCCTTACTAGTCTCACGCAGCGTTACAACTGACAACCTCGAAGATGTATGTGATGTAGGGGCTGTCTCCTGCACAAGGAATTCCCGGAATGGCAACACAGCATCGATACTGACATGCTGCAACTGCCAGTTGGTGGATGGGGAGGAACTTCATCCCTCCAACTATCGAGGCTGCAGGCACGCCAAGGAAGAGATGCGAAAGAGGAAGTCGCAGAGAGAGCCCAAGACTACAATTGGAAGGGTGTTCTCTTCCAGCCACACCACCAAGGCCTACCCTTCGTGGCGGCGCTGCGTAACAACACACAGCAACAGTAGCAGCCCCAGCCGCCCTCAGTTACATAGGCCTGCCCCGCCTAAGTGCGAGAAATGAGTGCTCCCTCCCTAGAGGCACAACCTACAAGTACCAAGCCAGTTCAGGCTCCTAATGCAAACAGTTCGTCTCTGAACATGTTCATAGTAGTCACAATGACATTTCAGGAGATCATGACACAGCTCAATGGGGCCGAGTCAGAAGAAGACAGAATAATAACCATCACAAAAATTGTATGAAGACTCATGAAGCAAAATGACTTCATAGGCGGTAAATATGACTGTGCTGGCGAGGACCAGGAGCAATTGTAAACGACAAACTTGTCATCTCAGCAAATCGCAACTGTCTGGCAGTAATACAAATTTAATCTTGGGCCTCAGATGGGTCTTTGATGCTAAGATAGAATATCTGTCCGACCGACGATCGTAATATAATTTGACTTTGACTTCGACTTAATGAGTTAGTTGTACGACAGTTGCCAGCTTGTAAGAACGTGAGTACGGAAGCGGAGGGCATTATTGAGATCCGTCACCAGGCAACGACTGGAGAAGACACAAGAGACTGCGAGGACTTGATCCCTCCTGTAGTGAACTGCAGAGTGTGCGAATTAGCGACAGCGCTATAGTTACTTGTAGTTAAAATCTCTAAATATTAAATAAATCTAATTACCAATCAAAATCCCGTCTATAGTTACTCATACACGTGACAATATCAACCCGTTATCTATCGAAGTAACTGAAGATGTTCTGTCCCGTACGTTCTCTTCTTTCAGATACGCTGCAACACCAGTAACTCTTAGTAATAATATCCTTGACTTCATGAAAACATACTTTAAAAATGAAACTGATGGCCTTGTGGTCTAAGAACGGTGCTGTCTTTCAAAACTGGAACATTTTGGATATGGAATCGAATCCCACACGGGACATGAATATATTGTGGCATGCCGCCTGAAAGAAGGGCGATAAGAAGTCAATCACTAGTCACCGCCTAGCAATTCCTAGGCAGCGAAGCCTAAGAAATCGTTGCCCCGGAAATGATAGTCTAGCAGTGGGGTTTCCACCGTTAGAAACGAATTGTTTGAGGCAGACACACATTCCCGCGTTGTTGCGTAGCAGCGTGCGAAATTAACCCTTCGACAAGGTATTCCCTATTCAGTCCGAGTGCAAGATATAACAGTTCCTACTCGGCAAGAGACCAGCAAACCCGTGTGGAGGCGGGGTCCAGTACCTCAACCGTGACCCTGCGAATCGTAGGAGGCGACAAAAAGGGAAGTCTCAAATTTGAGAGAGTAAAATATGGTCGCGAGTCCCAAGGGACTCGGACCCGAGAATGACTGCGCTGGCAAGGGCTAGAGGCAGGCCCGTCCTCTCGTCAGAGAGGGCGCCCCACAAAAACAAGACCTTAAGTCTCAAACAGTTACGTAATATCTGCTCATGAGCCCCAGATGAGGCTCGACACCGAGAATTACTGATTGACTGACCGTCAGTCGCAATGTGACTTTGAATTTGACTTTAAGACCAGCAGAGTTCTTATCAGACTAGAACAGAAGAGTTTGTATTCGACTTTGGCAGGAGAGAGTTCGTATCCGAAAAGGGACCAAAGACAGTTGAGCTCCGAGCAGAAGACACTTCACCAAGATCAGCGGTGCAAGTAATTGTAATAGTGAAGAGGAAACGTCTGACGACGTTGTAAGTGTGAATAATTGTACTTTTGAATTTAAAGAGTGAGTGTCCCAAAAATATTTATTCAAATCCGAAACCCACAAAATTCTTGTCTCGTTACCTAGCAAACACGCGACAATATGTTTACATCTGCTCCTTGACTTTTTTGTCCTGTGTAGGTAGAGGGCTTGTGATGAGCCAATCACCCTTCAATGAAGTTCTACCAAATATATAAAATGAATTCACAGTTTCAGAAGTTAATTCTGAATTTGACAGCACAGACAGCCAAATTATATAATGCAGAAGAAGAAAAGAAGAATGAAAGTAGTCAAAGCAAGCTATATATCAGTGCATGCACGAAATTAAATGGT